ATCGGGTACGTGTAGCGGACGACGCGCTCAGGGAGGGGGAGGTTGAAGTAGACGCGGACGAGGGAGAGGGCAAAGCCCAACGGGAGCCATGCGTACGTGACGAGGGCGTTTAACGGGGTCGGGGGCTGGACGAGACGCCCGTCGTGGAAGATCAGTCGGCTCTTGAGGCGTTCGAGTGGGAGCGGCTTCGCGGTTTTGCTCGGGTGCACCATGTACCCCTCCTGGTGAAGCAGTTTTAAAGAGGAAAACGAATTTGTGTTAATTAATATTATGGGGAAAAACTACAATTCCGTTACGAAACCATTCCGTCGGGTTGAATCTATCCTACACTAATCTACATGTGTATCTAACGGTTAAAAACCCTGACGGAATGGGAACTGTAGTCTTTTCCACAATATTATTATGATCGTGTGTATACTATCAAATATCATAAATAGTTGTTTTCGTTTAATTAATTTGGGATTTAAAGCTAGATAATTAGGAAGAGTATCCTTGAATTGTTTGTTTTGCACTAGTAAATCAATTAATTAAAGGAGGTGGAGGAGAGTTGGTTGCAACTACACTCATCTAATTCCTTAATTGCACTACAGAGAAAGTTTATCTATTCTTGAATTTCTCCGATTTTGACGAGGTTAAGAAAAATGTAGCCAGCTGTTGATGCATATAAGTAATTAATTGGTTGAGAATAAAGTTTAACACATGCTCTGTTCAGCCAGTTGGCTTCTTGCCAGCTTGGGAGGGTAAATGCTGTGGCCCCCCTTTGATTTGTTGTTAGGTGTTAAAAGTCATTGCTAGGTATCGTTCCTATTACTGCATATCCTCAACTACTTGCGGCTCTCACTAATATTACTGCACCCACAACTACTACATTAATTGCATGGCATCTCATGTGTGTGAGAGGGAAGAAGATGATAAATTAGTTCATGATAGATAGAAAGCAATTTTTTTATTACTGGCCAGGTAAATTTGAACTCTGTCAAAGAAAAAAAAAGTCACAAATCAAGTAACCCTGTGTATGGCCAAATCGAGAAATCATAAATGAGTATAAACGAGTTCATCTCGATTGTATTGATTAAGGAATGACTGCACTTGCACACAATCATACACAATAGTGATGTACATAATCTTGAACTTCACCGTGACAAAATTATACTTATTTTGACTTTTTCGCAAGCTGGTAAAACTAAAAACACACACAAGGCACGTAAGCGTATATATCTACAGTAGAGGTTGTTTACCAACAATTCATATTCTACCGTAACAAGCATGTACTATAAAATTAAAAAAATTATAATAGTGACCGCGATAGTTTATTCAGAAAACATTCAGCCTTTCAAACTTGAACCATTTGTAAATGATTGATTGCTTATTTCATTGTATCTTTCTCTTTTATTTGTCTTTAGATTAAACAAACAAAGGAAACGGAATATTAATTCACTAACAACTTTTAAACACATCTCAAGATTTACCTGACTAATATTGACAGTGATGATAAAATCAATGTGAATTGTGAAGTAATAACTAGTTGCCTCCACTGTCACTCTAATAATAAGTTAATAATAATACTGCAACTCAGGAAGAACCAAAACTGATTATCTCAGGCAACTATTGGAAGATTAAATTTATTAGAGTGACCTATAGGCTGCACCTACTGAATCAATTTCCTAAACACACATATATAGAAGGCCTGTAGCGAATGATACTCTCCGACACACACTTATGCCGTTCACATTCACGCCAAACAAACCAAAAACCTCACAAATGCTCATATTCACCTCAAAAGGGCATATCAAGAACAAGTATCAAAATCACACGAAATAAATATACCAGATAGAATCTAAGTGACATCCATAAATGTTGATTACTCAAATTTTTAGCTGAATTTTTTTTATAAAATAAAAAATAAAAAAGGAAAATGAAAAGGAAAGCTAACCTTGCAGATGGACATGAAATCGTGATCTGACTCCCGATCCCCAATCCCAATATCCGGAGTCTCCTCCCCAAATTCCTCCAGCACCCCCAACTTCTTCCACTTCCCAACCAGAACCCCCGGCTTCTTCACGAACCCCGTCGCCTTTCTAGTCTTTGGATCCACCTCGATTTCAGTCCCAATCACCTTGTCCCCGCCCAGGAACTCCTTCACAAAGGGCTCCACCATTATCGTCGGGTTCGCCGTGATTATCACCTTCCGCTCACACGCCTCGAACACGGCATAGCTCTCAGCCCTGACGTCGCTCGCGTAGAACCGCGGCAGCACGGCGCGGGCCGCGAGCTCGATGTCCCGCACCTTGAGTCCCGAGAAGGAGATGTAGATCAGCATCTGGATGGCGAGCGCCTCGGATACGAAGACGTAGGCGACGGCGATCAGGGGGAAGGCGAGGAGGAGGACGAGGCCGCGGAGGAGGCTGCCGGCCTCGATGGCAACAAGCATGAAGTAAGGGAAGGAGGAGCGGGAGATGAGGAGCGTCCCGTCCAGATCCGCCGCGATTGAGCGGCGGCGCACGCCGGAGGCGTCGCATTTCTCAATCGATGGGAAACGCGCGGCGGCGCTGGTTGTGGATTTCGCCATTTACTGAGATGCTTTAGCTGCTGAGCAGCTGTGTGCGCATGTACGTTATTGAATGTGTGTGTGTGTGTGTTTGGGTTGTTTGCTGGGAGTGTGAATTTTTTCGTGGGGGGAGGGAACCGTTTAAATGAGGATTGCGAGGTGGGGCTAGTGAGTGAAATGACGAGTTTACCCTTCTTTCGGTGAGTTTTAATTTGCATTTAATGACGAGAGTTTATAATGAATTTGTGTCCGTATATAATTTTTATTTCAATCCCATTCGTTGACGCAGATAGCTTCAATGAATAGTGTTTGACACGCTAAGATGCACCCATAAATTTGGTTGAGCGACAATAACTAATATGAGAATAAGTATAAATAATTGTACTCAACTTTTAGGGAAATGCTAAGGGAGATGTTCAAGATATCTAAAAAAAATTCAACATTTTAACTCAACCACTTTTTTTAACTCCATTTTAACTTAATTTCACTATCATCAATATTATCAATATAATTAAATAATACTCCCTTCTTTTTTTAATAGATGTCGTTTTGAGAAGTTACACAGTAATTAAGAATATTTTTTTTGCCAATAATAACCCACATTAATGAGGATAGAGATGAATGTTTTGAAAAACAAAATGAAGAGTGAACATGAAAAGACAGTAGTGTATTTATTAACTAGATAAGGGTAATAATGGAAAAATATGTACAAAAGATCCAAAACGTCATTTATTTGATTAATTGTTGATAAAGTCAAAATGATACTATTTATACAAAAAATGAGGTAGTATCAATCAATCATTCATACACACCACATTAACCTTAATTCACTATTCATCCACTCACAATATTTTAACTAACCATCACATCAAATTATTAATTATTTTATTTTAAATATTATTTTAATATACCTACTAATAATTAACCATACTACTTTTCTCAAAATTAACCAAACCAAACCAAAAAATCCAACAAAACTAAAAATTTTCATATCCAAACATGCTCTACGCTTCCATTATGGAACCATCTCGTCGGGTGTTTTAACTGTTGGATACCAATGTAGTTAGTATAAGATAGATGATCTAACGGTTAAAACATCCGACGAGATGGTTCCGTAACGAGATCGTAGCATTTTCCCAACTTTTAAACTATCAACTTGTTACATTAGATCTTTTTTTTTTCTTTTTTCTTTTTTCTCTCTCTCTTCTCCCTCTCTATACATGTTGTCTAGAAACACAACATCAATAGATCCTCTTCTCCCCTAGTACTCGATTTTTCGGTTCGCCTGCTCCACATTTTTTACCCATAATTAATCCTCTATATTTTAACTTTAAGTAAAATTTGAGAGAAAAAGATATTAAAAATAATAAAATATAAAAGATGTGAATTGCATACATTAACATATTTATGTGTCACTCTCTTTTACTTTACCAATCAAATGCACCAACATCAAATGTAGATGATCCATTTCATCTTTCAACCTCTTGGTAGGGCTTGTTATAAAACTAGATAGAAAAAGAGACAATACAGAAAATGTTTTCTCTTGGTTGTATTTTCATTATAACTGAAGCTCCTATTTATAGGAAAATTTCTGATGCCACAATCATAATAATACAATTACATCAAGGGCAAAATAGTCATTCACATATATTAAAAGTTGGTGTACTTGTTACACCTAACATCTAACATTTAATTTTATAACACTCTCCTTGAATGACTATTTTCTAAACATATTTTAACTGATTTGAACAAAGCCCAATCTAAATATCTTGAGTTGTATCTTGTGGCCATCAGGTACTGGTGCTTCAGTATGTCAGGAAAACCCGGTGGGACAAAACCTGATCATTATGGACTCACATTGCCCCCTTAGAAAAACCCGATAGGACAAAACCTGATCCTTGTGGAAGCACAACATTGCTCCTCCTTAAATATCTATACTTATATTAAAAGGTATCTCATTTACCAGATTTAGTATAAAGAAAAGTCAAAGGTAATTAATGTTTGCTGGAAATAGAATGACATTAATTACAGATTTGTTTTAGTATTTATATATAGTCCTCCTAGAATCAATAGCATTTCGTCGGAATACATCCTGTCTTTTCACCTTTGTAGTCCTATGCATAGTTAGTACTATAGCCCCAATCATGGCAACTAATAAAATCTTGACATTAAAAATTTGTTATGGGATAAAAATCAGAACCCATTTTTTTACCTTTGCTGGAAAAGTCAAATGTAAGTATACATTTATTTTATTCCATAACATCGGTTTAGTTAAAATAATCTCATAAAATCAGTTTTAATGTCAAGCCTATAAATAAAGACTAGTACAGAGCCCGTGCGATGCACGAGATGCACAATTTTAAGGCTATTTATCCAGACTTATAATTATATACATGAATAATGAAAAATGTACGGGATATATATAGTACGTGCGAAGCACGAGATATATTTATTTGGAGAATATTATATTATAAGATGCAATATTCAATAAAAGTTTATAATACGCAAGAAATTGTACAATGTTCAATAAAAGTTTTATAATATTCAAGTGGAGTCTTAAAGTCTCTTGTACATTAAGACTACTGACAAAATAATATTTTAATCAATGAGTTTCTTTTCTTTGTAGCCAAATTGTGAATGTGATTTGAGGAGTACAACAAATCGATATATAGTTGACTTGCTTTTTTCATTGTAGTTTTTTTTTCTTTTTTTTTATAATGAATTTAAAGATATTCTAAAATATAGCAAAAATTAATTTTTTTATTACAATTAGAAATTTTACTAAATATAAATACTCAATCTATGGTGTTAATCAATGTTTAAGTCTAAAAAATTAGGAATTTTTACCTCTTTTAATCAACGTTTAAGTCTAAAAAACAATAGAGTTATTATAAGTTTTTTTTCTCTACATCTTTTAAAACATTAAATATGAGCATGTTAGGACTAGCTTGTAAAATAATTAATATATTATCTCACTAAAACATTTATACTAATAAAAATTTAATTTTAGCATATAAATTTATCCCTTGATATAAGAGAAAGTAACAGTTTTACTTATTGTTGTTCACCATATAATATTTAATTATTATTTTATTATATAATAAAAAAGAAATATTGTTAAATAGTGTAGTAGAATTGTTATAAAATTATATGAATTTATTTTTTTACAATATGGATTTAATATTTTTTTATGATTTGATAATATAAAGAAATCTATACTTAACTTTGACAAATAAAACAAATAAATACTTTAGCAAGTATTTAATGTATATACTAAATAGGAATATATTTGGTATAATCAAATACCAAATATAATCAAATAAGTCAAAGTGTACATTTTTATTTGGTATTTGATTTTTTTATTATTAAAATCTTTTTATTATACTTACCTTTTTAAAATAAAACAAATAAATAAATCAATTAAAAAAATAAAATATTATAATACCAAAATAGTAATGACATTTAATGCAGATGACTTTTCTGGATAGTAAATGTAGTAAATAGAATATCCTTTTATATAGTATAATACAGAAATAGTAATGCAATAAATGATGTTGACTTTTCTGGCTACTTAATTTGGTAAATAGTACCCCCTTTAATACAAGTATAGATTTAATCGGTTTTAATAAAGCAGATTTAATAGGTTTTAATAATTGCATAGAATTTCAAAGCTGATATTTATTGTAAAAAATTTAAATTCTAAAAAAACATTTGTGTATATTTTGTAAAATGTTTGTACAAAATGTTTTACTTTAAATTTATTTACATAATTTAAATTAACTACATTAATAAATAATATGAATATACATTAAATATTTTAATTATATAAAACAAAAAGAAGAAGAAGATTACATCTATAATTTATAATAATAATGACATTATACTACAATAAATTTTATAATGAAATAATATAAGTATTATACGAGGAACAAAATTACGTAAAATTGTTATTTTTCTTATATCAATGAATAAATATATATGATGAAATCAAATTTATATTATTATAAACATGTGAGCGAGACAATATATTAATTAATTTACGGGCTAGCGTTACCACATTCAGGTTTAATGTTCCGACAAAAAAAATGACGTTGATGAAAAGATGTAAAAAGATAGATGATCAAACTCTATTATTTTTTAGGCATGAACGGACAAGCCCTATGGTCCACTCATTTAATATCTCCCGTGAATCGCACGAGTTACTTAACGGACAAATTCTGTGGAAATAACTTATTAATACTTATGTCCCGTGCATCGCACAAGCTACGTGCTAGTTCATATTTAGTGGAGTATTCAATTTATCTCCTTTTTCTCCAACCAATACAATTTACAAGTAACAAATGAGGCCACAATTAATGTTAATCATTGAAGACACAATATTTGTTCCTTTCTTCAGGCTATAAATGGACAATGTTCAATTGGAGACGCTCTAAGACACTCACCAATGGTTGATCTCTAGACGTGACTTTTTTTTTTTTTTTTTGTTCTAAAAAATGGGAAAAAAACTTGCACTGAGAAAATGCCCAAGAAACTTAGAATAAATCGTTAACGACAGATTTTCAACAATATATCACTGCACCCATTCGTCAATTTAATTTACATTTTACTAGTGTATATAAGCAAAGTACTATAAATCAATTTAATTTACATTTTAATATTGTACACAAACAAAGTACTATAAATTCAAGAATCATAGCTTCGCTACCACCCATCGCCAATTCAATTTACATTTTAATATTGTACATTGTTAGAATAGGAAATATTATTATATTTACCTTTATTATTATAGGGTAACTTCTTACCCAAGTAGCTTAACCCTAGCTTGTTGCCCAAGTAGTTTAGTCTATATATACTCTTATTCTGTAAGTGATTGATACACATTGATATACAGAAACACTTCTTCTCCTATTATGTCTCTCTTTACGCCTCTATCTGACATGGTATCAGAGACACCCCTCTGAGCCGTGGCCACCCTACATTTTTTTTCTTCTTCTTCTTCAATCACCCATCCATGGGTGACGCCTCTGCCACCGTCGAGGGCTCCTCTTCGGCGGCTCTTCCTTACAAATCAATTTCTCCTTATGATATTACTTCAAGTGATAATCCTGGATGTGTTATTTCTCAAGTTCTTCTTACCAATACTAATTATATCGAATGGTCTGCGGCTCTCCGGAGGGCGTTGTGGGCTCGCAAAAAATTTGGTTTCTTGGATGGATCTATTCCTAAACCAGAGGAGGGTTCTCCGTTATTGACGGATTGGTATGTCAATAATTTTATGTTAGTTTCTTGGATCATGAATACAATAGATGCTTCTGTTCGTTCTTCTATCCCCAATATCGAAATTGCTCAACACTTATGGCAGCACATCCGTGATCGATTTTCTGTGGTTAATGGTACTCGAATTCAACAGTTGAAAGGAGAAATAGCGACCACATATCAAAAAGGCATGACTATTAGTGCGTATTATGGGAAACTTCGTACACTGTGGGATGAATTGTACGCATATGATCGTCCGGTGGCTTGTCGTTGTGGTAAGTGTATTTGTCCTCTTGAGGCGGAGCATGAAATTCGTAAGGATAATGAACAATGTCATCAATTTCTCCTTAACCTAGATGCTGAGATTTTTGGGCCTGCTAGATCTCAAATTCTTGCACAAGAACCCTTGCCGAATCTCCACCGGGCTTATTCTGTTATGGTCCAAGAGGAACGTTTGGCCACCATTGGTAAGACTTCTTCTTCTCCTGCTGTTGATGTTCACTCCTTTGCGGCAGTTGCTCGATCGAAACTGCCGGCTCCTGCACGTCCTGCAATTCCCTCCGGCGCCCCGTGCAGTGTTTGTGGGCGGACTGGACACGACTCCAGCCGATGCTTCAAGGTGGTTCCTTGCCCTCATTGCAGCCGGACCGGTCACAATCCTAAACAGTGCTACGAATTGATCGGCTATCCTGCTTCATCGCAACAGTCTTCTCTCGGCGCCTCTTCCTTTTCTGCAGGACGTGGTTCGATCGCTGCTGGTGCCGGTCATCGTCTCCCTCCCGTTGCAGGCCGCGGCCGCGGTCGTGGTGTATCACCGGTGCAGGCCAACGCGACTGGTGTGCTACCCGTAGGTTTTCCGGCCGCCAGTGTTCCTCCACCTAGTTCGACTTCCTCACTTACGACCACTGGCCTTTCTCCTGACCAGTGGTCCGCCTTGCTAAACTTAGTTCAAACTCAGTCTTCTGCTGGTTCTAGTACCTTGACGGGTAAGTCTCATTCTAATATGTGGATGTACGATTGTGGCGCGACACATCATATGACGGGCTTTTCTGAATTTCTTGTTGATGTTCGTGATATTGAGTCTAGACCAGTGCAGCTTCCTAATGGACAATTCACATTTGCTACCAAAGCCGGCACAGTTCATCTTACTCCTACTGTGATCCTATTTAATGTTCTTCTTGTGCCCAGCTTAAAATGCAGCCTTATTTCTTTGTATCACTTATTGGATGATTTGGGGTGTGTTGCCCATTTTACGAATTTGAATTGTGTTGTACAGGACCGAGCTACGAGGATGGTGATTGGACTGGGTGAGCAAATGGGGGGATTGTACTTCTTTCGGGATCCGTCTGCGGCGGTTATGGCAACAGTTTGTGTTGGCGGCTCAGTGGACCTATGGCATCAACGACTGGGTCATCCGTCTTTGAAGGTTCTTGGAAAGATGTGTGATCTTGCCCCTAGTTCTTTTCGTAGCTATGAAAATAAATCTTGTGATGTTTGTCTTCGTGCAAAACATTCTAGAGATAGTTTTCCTGTTAGTGACAGCTGTGCTTTGGAACTTTTTGGTTTGGTCCATTGTGATTTATGGGGTCCTTATCGTGTCCCTTCTTTTTCTGGAGCTCGTTATTTCTTGACTATCGTAGATGATTATTCTCGAGCCGTGTGGCTATATTTACTTGATGATAAAGCCTCTGTCTCTGCTACATTACTTGCTTTCTTTGCCATGGTTCAACGTCAGTTTAATAAGTTGGTGAAAGTTGTGCGTAGTGATAATGGGACTGAATTCTTGTGTATGAGTTCTTATTTTCGTGAGCACGGTATCCTTCATGAAACTTCATGTGTGGGTACTCCTCAGCAAAATGGTCGTGTTGAACGCAAACATCGCCATATTCTCAATGTGGCACGTGCTTTGCGTTTTCAGGCCAATTTGCCCATCGAGTTCTGGGGACATTGTGTTTTGACTGCTGGTTATTTAATTAATCGTACACCCACTGAAGTGCTCCATGGAAAGAGTCCTTATGAGGTTCTGTTTGGTACTTCCCCGTCTCTTGATCATTTGCGTGTGTTTGGCTGCTTATGCTATGCTTATAATATGGATCGCAAAGGTGATAAGTTCTCTAGTTGCAGTCGTCGTTGTGTCTTTGTTGGTTATCCGTTTGGCAAGAAGGGTTGGTCAGTATATGATCTTGAGACTAAGGATTTTTTTGTTTCTCGTGATGTCAAGTTCTGTGAAGACGAGTTTCCTTTTTCTTCTGTGGTGGTTGCTCCTGTATCTCCTTCTTTGCCTACTATGGCTACTTCTCCTTGGCCTGTTACTGATGATGTTGATGCTCCTATGTCCTTGCCCGCTCCCTCGACTTCCGTTCCTCCCTCCCCGTCGGAGGTTTCTGAAGCCAGGGGGGGTTCTTCTCCTACTCCTGAGGTTCTTGGCAGAGGTCACCGTACCAAATATCCGTCTGTTCGGCTCCGCGATCATGTCACCCACACTATCATCTCACCCCCCATTACTTGCTCACCCGCCACTCCATCATCCTCAGGTACTCCTTATCCTTTAGCTCATTATGTAAATTGTTCTTCATTCTCCCCTGCCCATCAAGCTTTCTTAGCAGCGGTTCAGTCCTCTGTTGAGCCTCGCTCCTTTTCTGAGGCCATGACTGATCCAAATTGGCAAACTGCGATGCAACTTGAGATTCAGGCTCTTGAAAACAATGACACATGGGCTTTGGTTTCCCTTCCTTCAGGCAAGAAGGCCATCGGTTGTAAGTGGGTGTACCGTGTTAAACATCGCTCTGATGGCTCCATTGAAAGATATAAGGCTCGCCTTGTGATTTTAGGTAATCATCAGGTGGAGGGCATTGACTACACTGAGACTTTTGCTCCAGTCGCAAAAATGGTTACTGTTCGTACTTTTCTGGCCGTTGCTGCTGCTCGCAGCTGGGAGCTTCATCAGATGGATGTTCATAATGCTTTTCTTCATGGAGATCTCCAAGAGGAGGTTTACATGAAGTTGCCCCCTGGGTTTCGCACTGGTACTCAGGATTTGGTTTGTCGTTTAAAAAGGTCTTTGTATGGCCTTAAACAGGCTCCTCGTTGTTGGTTTGCCAAATTGACTACTGCTTTGCAGCAGTATGGTTTTACCCAGTCCCATGCTGACTATTCTCTTTTCTCTTTGCGTCGTGCTTCCCTCTGTTTACATGTTCTCGTTTATGTGGATGATTTGGTTATATCTGGGAATGATTCTGCTGCTATTGCTGCCTTTAAGGATTATTTGTCCTGTTGTTTTCACATGAAGGATTTGGGGGTTCTTAAGTACTTTCTTGGGTTGGAGGTGGCTCGTAATTCTACCGGCATTTTTTTGTGTCAGCGTAAATATGCTTTGGACATTCTTTCTGAAGTTGGCTTATTAGGGGCGAAACCCGCTTCTTTTCCTTTGGATCAGAATCATCAGCTTCCGCTTGCTTCTGGGCCTCCGCTTCCTGATCCCGAGCAGTATCGACGTCTTATAGGGCGTCTTATTTATTTGGCTGTCACTCGCCCTGATTTGTCTTATTCTGTGCATATGTTGTCCCAATTTATGCACAACCCTTTGCAGGCACATTGGGAGGCTGCTCTCCGAGTTGTCCGTTACTTGAAGAGTAATCCTGGGCAAGGCATCCTATTTCATGCTACTTCTGATTTGCGTCTTTCGGCTTGGTGTGATTCTGATTGGGCGGGTTGTCCTCTTACTCGTCGGTCTCTTACTGGCTGGATTATTCAGTTAGGGCCTTCTCCTATTTCTTGGAAGACCAAGAAGCAGCATACTGTTTCTCGCTCTTCTGCTGAGGCTGAGTATCGTTCTATGGCATCGACTACATGTGAATTGAAGTGGTTGAAGTCTTTGTTGACTTCTCTTGGTGTTGATCATTCTCTTCCCATTCCTCTTCATTGTGATAGTAAGGCTGCTTTGCACATTGCCTCCAATCCGGTCTTTCATGAGCGGACGAAGCATATTGAAGTTGATTGTCATTTCGTTCGAGATGAGTTGGTGAAGGGTATTATTGCTCCAGCCTATGTCTCTACCAAGGTTCAACTTGCTGATATTTTCACCAAGGCTTTGGGTGCTAAGGAATTTGAATTTTTTCTTCGCAAGTTGGACATTCGGAATCCTCATGCTCCAACTTGAGGGGGGGTGTTAGAATAGGAAATATTATTATATTTACCTTTATTATTATAGGGTAACTTCTTACCCAAGTAGCTTAACCCTAGCTTGTTGCCCAAGTAGTTTAGTCTATATATACTCTTATTCTGTAAGTGATTGATACACATTGATATACAGAAACACTTCTTCTCCTATTATGTCTCTCTTTACGCCTCTATCTGACATACATAAACAAGTACTATAAATTCAAGAACTATATCTTCGTCAATTCAATTTACATTTTAATAATGTACATAACTATAAATTCAAGAACTATAACTTTAGATTTATCAGTAAAAGTTGATATTGTAATTTTCTAATAGCTTCTCCAGCTGAATGTTAGTTATTTTACCTCAAGGTGAAGTCAAATTCATGTTTGGTAAAGCCAAATTTATGTGCACCACTGTAATATTGCATCAGATTATATGATTTTTTTTTTGTTTTTTCTCTTATTATTATTATTATTATTATTATTATTATTATTATTATTATGTTAATGAATACTTTTGACAAAATATATATTAATAGATACCATTAAATTTTTTTATGTATATTAATATGCTTTTTGACAAAGTGTGTACAAATAAATGACAATAAACTACAATCCACAACTTAAGTTATAAATTAATTTTTTTTCAAACATAATTAATATTTTAGTAAATACTAGATACATGTTTTAGCAAATAAAATAATTTTTATATAAATATTGTTATGTTTATTTAACTTTGAATTAAAATTAAAAGAAATAAATGGGAGGAAAAAGTGTGACTCATAAGTCTAACAGAGCTTTCATATGTAGAAAGAGTTCAAACCTCATTGTGTCTCTTTCATGTCACTATCATTGCAAGTTGAAGTAAAACATTCATCGTTGGAGAAGATTTTTGTTGCAATGCCTCTAAAATTCCACAATTTAGAGTATCTCCAATGACATTTCCATTGCTCTATTTTGTTGCAAATTATCTTATGTTGCATGGAAAATATCTGTAAGTCTTTCTAGATATAGAAATCAGTCTAAACAACTTCTATTATGTATTATATTTTTTATTCAATTTATCTCTCTTATCCAACCAATTTTAATTTTACACATCACAAATGATATTACAATTAACATTAACCATTAGAGACACAATTTTTTTAATTTATTCCTTTCTTCCATGACATAAAACACAAAATGAACAATGTTCCATTGGAGATGCTCTTAGCTCCGCTCAATTTGTGTATCGCTTAATTTTATATATAAAAAATCTATATATTTACGTAGCCATCAAATTGCATTTTACTTTTATTACAATACACAAAGTACATAAATCTAGACACAAACAACACATACAAATTTCCACATATAAAATTATTTGTGTTATACATTCTTTGACATTTTTTTTAAAACATCCACTCGATTTGTAATCATCGTATTTAACAAACAAGATAAGCCTGATTAAAATGCCGACACAGTGTCTCTCCTACAACTCAAGGATTTATTTTTAAAAATAATTTTCAAGCCTCCATAATCTGTTTGTTCTTACTTATTCACAAGATAAAATTAATATTGAAGAATGCTTCATGTGAATAAGAACTTTTAAGAGTGTTCTTTCTCCTTCTGAGATTAGGATTTTTTCTCGGGCTTTCTTGTGTGGTTGTATCTTTGGTCTTTATCTCTCTTTGGGGTTTCTGTGGTTTGTTTCTTGTTTTCCTTGTAGGTCTTTAGTTCTTCTGATTGGAATTTGGTTCTATGTTGGGAGAATGGACAGCGTCTGTGATTCAGAGCTAGCCACCAAATTGGGGAAATTTGTTCTTTTGGAGAAGGAAATGGTAAGGGTTACACTTGAAAAGGAAGATGTAGCTTTCATCAAGGACGAATGTAATCGAAGTTTATTTGGGCGGATTTTTGGAACAAAAAAAGCGAATTTTGCTGGGCTAATGAGAACGTTACATCATGTATGGCAACTTGAAGATTCCTTTAATATCAAGGAATTGGGATTCAATATTTACCAGTTTGTGTTTCAAAAGGAACAAGACAAGAAAAGTGTAAAGAATGGGCACTTGTGGGCTTTTGATAACCAATATCTGATTCTGGAAGAGTGGTCTGAGGATATCAATGAAAGAATTGGGGATCTGAAGCAGTTAGATATGTGGTTACAAGTCTGGAATGTACCTTGTCAATGGGTATCTGCTAACATAGGATATAAAATAGGAAGGTTGTTTTCAGAAGTGAAAAATGTGGTTATTCCGAAAAGCGGTACTACAAATGGCAGAGTGATCAAAGTTCTAGTGACGGTGGATCTCGACAAACCATTGCTAAGAGGTACAATGGTAACTCTTGGGGGTAGAACACGGTGGGTTGACTTCAAATATGAGCAATTGTTGGTTTTCTGTTACTATTGTGGGCTAGTGAGTCATTTGGAGAGAGGGTGTGAAAAGAAACATGAAGATATCAAAAAAGAGAATGTAAGAGATGGTCAATATGGGGATTGGTTGCGAGCTTATGATTGGAGACAAATCGGGAGGAGAAGTGGTGAAAAGGATACAGTGAAATCAAATCAACATGCGGTTAAGGAAGTTGACGATGGGGGTCAACTGTTACGGGAGAGAACATAAAGCATTCAAAAGGAGCAATCCCGGGTAGAGATCCAAGAATGTGAAGCGGGTGATGTACAGATGGATGATAATTTTTTGAATCAAGTGAATAGAGAAGAGTGCAAAAATCAAAACCCAAGAGGTATTACCCTGAAACACAAGGAAAAGGAAGACGCGGAAGTAACATGTGGATGGGAGGAGGAGATGGTGAACTCTATGGAGCCTCAGGAACAAATTAAACCAACTAGAGGGAGTGTTTCTATTAAACTAAGGAAAGCACACCAAGTCAAATCCAAAGATGAAGAAAGAGAAAATGAACAGGGATTGTAGAAGGGAAGGAAACGAAGTAGGATGCTAACGAGGAGATGGAAGGCTCTTTGTTGGAGGGGACAAAAAAACAGAAAAAATGGGAAGGAAATAAGCAGGGAAGTAATGAAGAGGGTAGGGTGGAGGGTTCCAGCCAAAATGGAACCCAAGCGATCCAATGAGGGTTATGGTGTGGAATTTTAGAGGTTTGGGGAGCCCCTCTACAATTCCCTAGCTTAAGGAGGTGTGAAGACTCCATTCCTTGGATTTTGGATTCTTGAGTGAAACAAAAAAGAATTCCAAATTTGTTAATACTGTATGTAAGAACTTTGGTTTTAAGGAGCGATGGTTGGTGGTGGATCCTTTGGGGATAAAAGGGGGCTTGTTAGTGTTTTAGTCGGATAGAATAACTATTTTGCAATCTATTCTCAAAGACTTTTGTATCCAAATTCATTGTAAATTTGAAGGTTTGGATATGTCGTTTTGGCTTATTTTTGTGTATGCTAGTACTGAAAGTGTCACTAAAAATCTTCAATGGAATGAATTAGTCAGGGATTCTAGATTGTGGGGTGATTGTTGGTGGATGGGAGGGGACTTCAATGACATAACTTCTAATGAAGAAAAAATGGGAGTCAGGATAGACCGAATTCCAGCTTTGCAGGATTTTTGGACTTTATTGGCATGTTGAACATGGCTGAAACTCTTTTGCTTCGACAGAAGGTGGCTGAAACTTGAAGGGACTGATAAAGTGGTTGAACAGACATGGAAAATAAATGTGACGGGTTATCCACTTTTCAGCATTCAAGCGAGAATCAGGAATTGCAGAGTGGAATTAATGAAATTGAGGCACAATATTCAGTCTAATTCACGGAAAGTAATTGAGGATTATAATCAGCAACTTATCAAAATGACAGAAGAAGGGGACAATAGAGACTGGGAGGCTTGGATGAAGGTGAAAATGAATCTCCATGAAGCCTATGTAAATGAGGAAACTTATTGGAGGGACAAATTACAAGTGATGTGGCTAAAGGAGGGGGACAAAAATACTTCTTTTTTTCACTCTACAACTGTTCAGAGGAGGAGAAGGAACATAATTTGCGAATTTGGTGAGAGAGGATGGATCCATTTGTCAGTCTGAGGAATCAGTAGTTCAGGAAACAACTTCAACTTTTCAGAAGTTGTTTAATTCTTCAAATCAGGTGGTGGATGTGGCTAGCTTGGAAGGAATTCAGAATGTCCTTTCTCCCTCTATGAACCAAGAATTAACCAGGGAAGTGGAAGATCTGGAAATCAAGGATGCTCTCTTTAATCTTCATCCCTATAAATCTCCAGGTTTTGGATGGTATGTCCCCTATTTTCTTTCAATTCTTTTGGTCCTTGATTAAGGGAGACTTATGTGT